TTTTCTCACCCCACACGACTCGTGTCACATACCACACGAGTCGTGTGACCCTGACTGCACCCTATTTTTGCCGTTTTTCGTCCCGATTCCATCTTTAACGCTTTTTCGGGCATATTTCCTGCAAAACCAACGACAACTATACCTCTATCATAGATTAATAAATCAAACGAAATGGTGCGCAATCCCACAATAAACACGGTCAAACATCACACAATATCACTCATAATGCATGAAAATAATGATGAACATCAGTATGGTTCGTTCAATTCATTGAGTCCACAAAATTCTCCAACATCCTGAAATTAAATCATAAAAATATCATAGCACTTGAATCCATCTAATAAATAAATAAGTCGAAAGATATATAAGTGCGACAAAATTAAGCATATAAAAATACGCTGATAGATATATAAATTACACACTTTTTCCGACCAATCAATATGCTATTTATTATCTTCAAACTTAATTCTTTGTCAAAGAATAAATTTGGGAGAGAAAAGTGTCGTGTGTGTATGTATATATATATATATGTAGTTCAAATGAGAATGAGTCATAGTGAGAGAAAGAAGAATGGATCGTGGCGATCGTAAGTGATATATCAACGTTCCAGGCACATTCAAATGGTCTAACTTTGGTCGAAGGGGCGGTAGCATTGATGTAATTATGTGGACTTTTATTTTTTCATGCAGGGGTATTTTGGTCATTGTGGGAATGAACTGTTTCGCTAATGTGCATTCTCGCAGTTTTCAGTCATTGTGCGGAATGAACAGTTACGCTAACGTGCATTTTCATAGACATTAGAGCATCAACAATGCTTTAGGTCCATTCAAAAAAATATGTAGGCCACGTAGGAAATATACCTAGTCTAGAAAAATATATACTCCAATGTAAATGCAAGTGGACTGGGTCATGTTGACATGACAAAAAAAAGACTCAATCTACCATTGAGTCTAATTTAGACCCAACTAGAGACCTAGTCTCTTTGCATTGAAGTCAATTTTGCTACTTCTATACATTTTTGTCCATGTCATTCAAGACTTAAATTTATTTAAATGCCACATAAGCAAAATTAGACCCAAAGCATTGTGGTTGCTCTTAATGTGTCTTTTTTCTAACACTTTTGTGTATTATGCATTGCGCGTATTTTTAACACGTATATCTAAACGTGATATTGTGCATTGTAGTGAATATTTTTGTGTAATTAACAGATTTTATTAAATTATAGATTTAACCCGTGAACTAAATTGTAATATAGATAAATTTTTAATTGGAAAATAAGTCCTTAGAACTTATCTAATTTTTAAATAAAAGCCCATAAAAAATTTAAGATTTCCTCTCATGGCTCGCCATCCTCCTTCCCGGTACACGTCGTCCTCCTTCTCGATCGTCTGCACCCGTCAGCCAAAAACGACCCCGGTAGACAGTTGTTGCTGAGGTCCAACTCTATCAAAGAGGAGAGGCAACAGAAGTCCAGGAGCCAAAGGGCATGTTGATGTTGACGTGGAAGAGGGAAAGGGAGGTGAGAAGGCCCAGCGAGCCGACCAGGGCTCCAGCGAAGTTTGCGTCGTTAAGATCCACGGCGACAATGAATTTTTCGGACGGATTTTTGAGCAAATTGACCTCGTTCATGCAGAAGATGTCCTAGTAGCAGCAGAGTCCGTGCGATCCAAGATGGAAGAAGGCGGCGACGACGGCGATGCTGGTGGAGGTGGGTGGCGAGGGTCGACGAGTGTGTTTTGTTTGTGTGTGTGAGCGTGAAGTGTGTGTATTATGTCGGTGCGTGTTTGTTTGTGTGAGAGAGGGTAGATGGGGTAGGTGGGGTGGGGCCACGGGTGGGTCGGTACTGTTGGTAATGTCTAGTTTACCCTTAATGAGTGTAATTTTTTTTTCTTTGTCGTTGGATTATCTATTCTGATGGCGACGATGTATTCTTATTTCATTTGCTAATAACCAGTCTCACCGGCGGTCCGTATATATCTATATTTCCTATGAGTACGTGGCTTGAAACGAATTTATCTAACAGCTTCGTTCCCCTCGATGATACCTTGGAGTGTTCTTTTGGTGTTAGCTTGTGGCGGCTATGGCAAGGGCGAAATAACTATATTTTTAATGGCCTCGACCCTTTGGTGGACAGAAAAATCCATGAGGTTCGAAATTACGTAGCCTCGCTTAAGCAAGCGACTTCGAGCTGTTTGCGCCTTGGACAGGTTGGGCTCCAGCGTTCGGAATGCATGATCCGATGGGATCACCGCGCCCGGGGTGGATAAAGTGTAACTCGGATGGCGCTCTCAATACGACTACAGGAATGGCGAGTGCGGCGGGCCTACTACGTAATCACAACGGTAAGTTTCTGGGTGGCTTCTCCATGAAC